GTGTGTCGTGAACAATAAAAATTGTTAAAAATTAAAATTTCAGACAAACTGCGTTGTATATTAATATTTTTTGTTTTATTTTTAAATTAGTTTCTTCGACTAGTTTCGGCCATCATGGTCATCATCAGGAGAAAAAAATTCCTGCTTGTAAGTAGCAGTGAACAACAAGGATGAATGACAATCTTTGAGGAAGTTGAACTTGGCCTGTAGTTTTCATTTAGTTTTTTATATAGTTAATTTTTGGTCAGTTCTGGGGTTAAAGGTCTTTTTCAAGTTGTTTTTTTAAGGAGAGTTAGGGAGAGCCATGAGTCTCAGAAGTAACCTCTTTAGTTATTTTGACAGCTTTATTGGCTGCTGGGAAGGGGGTGTGTACGTTATATGTATGTTATCTTTTAATTTGTGGGGATTGTGTGTAATGTATGTATGTGTATATATTTGCGTATGAGTGTGTGTATGTGCGAATGTCTCTATGGGAGATCTCATCACCACTGTGAGCATGTCTGATTGAGGGTGAGAGGGTTAGGGGAGTCAACTTGGGCCCTTCATGGGTGGTGCCATCATCTATGTATTAGCAGTAGAGTATATTCAACTATACAGAGTTTATAACGCGTGAAAGAGAAATATTGAGGGTTGATCTATGGGGTCATATGTTAATTCTATCCGTGCTCTTTAGTTTGTTACTGAATCTGTTTTGAGGCGCAAAATCCATTTGTCTTCATGGTCTTCTGGTATTTTCCTAACTTTTTCTTTTGTGTCTATTTCTATTCTTTCAATAATCGTGAATTTTCCATGGTTATTAAAATCATGTTTTTGCATGGCTATTAAATCATGTTCTACAGGTAATAATTTTATCTGTATATACGTAAATACTATCTTATATATTTACAATCCCAGATACAACAAAGAAACTTTGAACTTTTTGGCAATCAGACGTCAACTTGAACTGGCAGAAAGGAGAAGACGCTGCTTGTTTATTGGCGCAAACTAATATCAGCCATCTTGACACAGTTTCAATTGGAATAGCAGTAACATTTACTTGACTCTTCCTATTTATAGCGCGCGATGCATAAATTGCATTTTTAACATAAAACGCAGCAACATCGACAGCAACAATTGACGTAAGCAAGTCTTAAAAGAAATAACTTTCACATATTACTGGATGTACTCCACTTTTCTTTCTTTTCTCTTTAGAACTCAGGAGAATTCAATTTGCAAAATAGCACCCCCACTACTTTTAACAAATTTGGTTTATTTTTTCGTTGTTAGCATGAAACGAATAGATTTTAGTCTCTTCACGCGGCAAAGAAAGAAAAAATGCCAGTAGATCATTAATAATTGCCACCACCCCAGAGTCTACCCGTCTGATCGTCATCAGCAGCAGTAATCGTTTTCGTCTTTCTCTTCCCAATTTTGTCTGCTCTTCTTGTTTTTATTAAGAAACTAACATTTTGAAAAGACCATTTTAAAGCGATTAAAATGTCCTCTTGCTATTGGGATTTTTTGTGAAATTCTTTGATCTTTTTTGTTTGTCTAGTTTGCTGATATTTCGTTTTTAGCCCGATTAAATTGCAAAGTCTGCATGCACCGAAGAGAGATTCGCGTAAATCACGTAATTATCGGCGAAACAACGACGACAACGATAATTCGAATAGGACTGGCTTATTTATGAAGCTTAGCTTATCTTAGTCTGAAACAGTAATGAGGCACCCAGTGAGGATCAAACTTTAAACTTTACATTAAACTAGTTCGGGCTAACATTCTCGGCTGACATGAAGTGGAAAGACTATATTGAATCCATTTTTAGGTCAGCTGCTAAGAAAGTTGGTTCACTGTGTTGTCCGAGACAATTTTTCTCTCCAGAGTCTATTTTAAATATCAATTCGTCCATTAGAATATTGCTGCCACATATGGTCCGGTTTCCCTGGTATATATTTGGAGATTCGTGATAAAATGCAAAGAATTAGCAATATTATTAGCTCTGACCTGACATCTCGGCTTCAGTCAATTTTTCACCGACGTAAAATTGCTCCCTTGTGCCTTTTCTATAAATAATTTCATGTTAGTTGTTTTGACGAGCTCTTCGCTACGATATCTAGACTTTGAATTTAAACTCAGTACTAGATTAGCAACAAGGTATCATCCATTTATAATGGAAATGGCTAGATCTAACCGTAAGTTCTATGCTAACAGTTTCTTTTCTCACACTTTTCACTTGTGAAATTCTCGTCAGGCTTCAATCTGGTCAGCCAGCATTAATCTTTAAAAATTTAAATGAAATGTCAATCGTTATCTAATGTCTTCCTGATTGCCCTTCTATTTTTCTTGCTCCTTAGTAATGTTTCTCTTTTCTAATTCTTTCACACTCAGTAACCCCTTGTGTCTTAGTGGCTTTGTTCCATTGCTTGGGCTAAATCCGATAAAAAAATATCGCCCCCACAAAAAGAAAAAGAAGAAAAAATAAACTAGGATGAGTTCCTTAATCATCGATAATAAAATCTGC